AAGTCACGAGTCATGGGAAGGAGTCCTCACGAGAGCGCCACTATTATTATCAATGAACTCAAACTGCCACTAACTGTGGATGAATTATTGGATCAGATTCACGAAGAGTTTACGATAGCCTTGAAAGACGTGCAGCTGATGCCGGGTGCGGAACGGCTGGTGCGGCACTTGTATGCGAGTGGTATACCGATGGCCATCGCCACCGGATCCAACTCTCACCAGTACTTCTCTAAAATCGCCAAATTTGACCACTTCTTTAGCAAAAGTAATTTCTTCAGACACTATGTGTTGGCCGGAGACGACCCACACGTCAAGAGAGGAAAACCATTCCCCGATGTCTTCATCGAAGCCATGAATAGATTTGAGCCAAACCTCAAACCACAGAATGTTTTGGTGGGTATTCTTGGATCAAATTCTTGACGATTCTCTAATCATTAGAGGACACAAACAACTTATCTTTTTGTTTAGCTTTAAATATAATTTACGAGAAATTTATTTTAGTATAAATTCAGTGAATCCAATGAATCCAATAATAGCTATGGATGTGTTGTAACTGAGTTTTATATGCTTTAATGAATTGAAGGTCTTTGAGGACAGTCCGCTTGGAATAGAGGCGGCGTTGGCCGCAGACATGCCATGCGTTTGGGTTCCCGACCCTCGGACTGACACGAGTGGACACAACGCTACTATTGTCCTCAAATCACTCGAAGACTTTAAGCCAGAATTGTTTGGTTTACCACCGTTTGAGAGTTGAGACCATTTATCAATTTAGTTCTTGTCGTTGAATAACAAATAAAACAAATACCGGTATTTTATTTATGATTTATATACTTTATTTAGTATTTATAAATTATAATATAATGTGAGGATTTGTATATTAATTGTCTCTCAATTAAAATATAAGTCAAATACAGAATAAAAAGATTTTTAAAAAAGTTTTTGCCTTAAAATAAAGTATTATTTGTGAAGAATTAAGTGCAGAATATATGGTTTGTATGGAAAGTAATGCGAGAATTGAGTTACAATTGAATGAATCGATG